TATTTCCCCCAGTTTTTTCACATCATGATACAAATTGGAAGTGATATTTGCGTAGCATTTTGGGGTAATGGACAAAATTGCTTATGGCTGAGGGTAACAAGCTTAAGGGATGGCTCAGACCACCCTTTGGGCCACACACTTCCTGAAGGTACAAGGATCACTGTCATGATAAAATATGTAACCAACTGATAGGATACTGTTGTGCTATGGCACATCTTTTGTGTTACCCAATTCTAGAAACTTGAGCTTTGTTTTATTTTTTAAATACTTCTTGCCTAAACATATCAGAAATGTAGGTGTTTGAGAGTTCTCTTGCAGTGCTTCACCTAGAGGATATGCCTTCTACCCCTATATCTTTAATTAAAATCTGGATGTGCTCATGACTCTCAAGTTATATACCCATCTGATTTCTTTTTCTTAAGCACTGTACAGAAGAAATCCAGTTTCTTACAGAGCATCATCCATTAAAAGTATCCATGTACTCTAATTAAATAAATTATCTTTACCCCACACTCAGTTGCTCAACCTTGAACCATCAAGAGTAATCTTTTGATATCTCTCTTTCCCTCTCTTTCATATCTCAAATCCAGTATGTCAAAGTAAGTACTATAATTTATTTCATTTTCTTAGGATAGTCAGACCTATTGAGAAAAATTTAGATTATGATTCATGGTAAATCAATCTATATGCAAAACAATAATTTCTTTAAAGTATTTATCCTCAAAGGAGATAATATTGCTACCAGGGATGCAAAATTTGTTGGAATTATTTTGGATATGCACAAAAATCTTACTCTTTTAGGTATAAAGTGTACACATATATATAATACACATACACACAATACCCAAAGAGATATGCATTATGTATGTATTATTCAATTAATGACACTTTGGCTTAAGGACTTCATTATTCATTATCCCACTTGTCTTTCATAACAAACCTACAATATAGGTATTATTATTTCCATTTTCCAGCTAAGGAAATAGGATCAGAAGCTTAACAATTCAAGTCTATCATAGAGTTCTTTAAACACAAAGGTCCTGTATGAAGTGACAGGGACTGAGAAGGCAGCCTAATTATATGTGTTGAATGGATGAATTATGATTTAGGAATAAATAGAGAAGTACAGAAACCCATGTGTTAGATTCCACATACTGTTTTAATAATCACTATGTTATCAGAGGTGTCCAGTACATGGTTTTAGAATGAACTGATGGATCTATGGCTAGAAAAATGGATAGAATGGAAAGAGGGAAAAGAAATAAATAAGAAAAAAGTGGACAGAATCTGTCCTTCCTTTATGCAAGAGTTTACCAGTTTAACTGGTAAACAATTGAACAATTGTATTTAAATTAATTTAAAGAATAACTAAATTCAAGGTACCTGATAGAAGTTTCATTAGTAAAAATATAACATGATTTCTGATGATTCTTCCATGCAGCCAGCTTATGCACTTTGTGTCTCTAAGAATCAAACTCATCTGCCACACTGCTTTTAGCACCTACCTGGAGTGATAACTTTCATGAAAAAGAACTGGAATTTGGATAAGGAATAATTTCCTAGAGCTTTGTATTGAAAAAAAAAGGCTAACAAAAGTATAGACATAGAGGACTGTAATTCTATAAGAAATATGTTCATACTTAATGTCATTAAATTGGGGGATAGCTATTGATGAATTTCTAAAATGAGGATCATGTTTTTCCTTTAATTTCCTTCTTCAGTGAGATATTAAATGTGGTTATACTAAAATTTCTAGTCACAGAAGTTTCTAGACTATGTTTAAGTAACTGAAATATTATTATATATGGAATCCTTACTCAAAGACATTTTAGCTGTGTGTTCTTGAACAAGGTCTTTAGTTCATGAATGTCAAATTTCTGAGGGGTAAAAATGAAATACCTATCTAATCAGGGTTACGAGGAGTAAAGAGAAAATACAAATAAAGGAACTATGTGGCATATAGAGTGTGTAGCACTTTATACAGAGTAGTACTCAGTAAATGTATAGTTTTTCTTATTCAAAGAAACACATGCAACTTCTCTTAAATTCTAATTCAATGATTAGATTTTTAAAAGAACATTACCTCAAGTTTAGACTGTATCAGTAAAGATGAGATGGGGATAAATATGAAGGCATTCTACTTTACTATTAATTTGCATGGTACTGATACTATCTTAGGTCCTGGTTTGCCCAAGTAAACAAAACAAAATACCTGTTTATATTTTGGTTTTCTACTGAGTTGGCGAAATTTATTTTTGAAATAAATTTCATTAGTGATGCCTGATATATTTTAAATTATCTTTGCAAATTATTTACTCAAAGCTATTTCTGGTCCATATGGCAATCATGGATCAACACAGGAGCCATATAATTGTTGAGACAGAGCTGAACCTTAGACATAAAGCACTATTTATTTGCTCTTCAGAATTAAAGGTTTTGAAGGCATTTTGCTTCTGAATAATGGGAAACTAAACACATTTTATAGGAATGTATTTGTTCATCTGTGGTTGGTAAACTAGTTACTTACTAATGCCTCAAATTCCAACCATTTCAGGCTTTAGAATAAGATGTATGCTGATGTGTGTGTGTGTGTGTGTGTGTGTATGTGAGTGTGAAGGAGACTTTAGAGCCATATAGACCTAGATCTAAATCTCAGATCTTCTATTAACAATCTAATTATGAAGTTTCTTACCTAAAAAATTTAGTTTCTTTACTTATCAAATAGGAACAGAGGGTTGGCCTTGGAGTTATGAAAATTGAAATTCATGTAATACCTTCAGCACAATCCCTAGCAGCGTAAATAAATGCTTACAATTTTGAGCATTTTTATTTTATTATTTTCATTTAAATTTTCCCTAGGAGATTCAATCTGTCACTAGTTTCCACAAATTGACCTGTGGAGAAAAATGCAATTCTTTAACTAAATTAGAGCCAACTATATAACTACCAATGGCAAGAAATCACAAGTCCATATATACAGTAGTTTTAAAGAGCATACCATATCCCACTGTAGAAAGACCCAAGTGTTTCATTCTATTTTTCACAAGTTCAGCAAGCTCTTGTCTTTCTGACCTCCTGTAGAGGTTCAGTCGCTGCTGGGTTATTTTTTCAGCTGTTTTACCAGAGTGTTTTGGACCTTTTCTGCTCAGTCTTCTGGCCCACTGCATGCTCTTTCTCCGTAGCAAGGGATGGTCTGACTGGTCACTGGATGTTGAGTTGCGGTGGTTGCTGCGGTGGTGCCCTTGTTCTTTGGAGTCTTTTGTGTCCTCCCACTCTTCTACACTGATAGATATTTGAGACTTTAAAATAAATAGATATTGATAATTAGATACGTTAAGAATAATCATTGGTTGGAGTTGAAATAGCATTCATTTGCTATTATCTTGTCACAGTTATGTATCTACTCATGAATATTTCCACAGAAAGAGCAAAATCATAATCTTTGATTCTAATTTTTTATTACTAAAGACATTATGAGAAAATACATTTTCTTCAACTTATATAGAAACAAGATAAAATATCTACATCCTCTAATACAAGTTTGTATAAAAGAATTGAATTTTGTATGCATGAGGGCTTTCTTACCACAAATGACTATTACCATAAAGTTGTTCCAAACGTCAAAAGACTAGATAGATATTTTATGACTTTACTGAAATAAAATCCACATAATAGAGTTTTCTGAATCTACTATAAGCATTTAACATTCAATTTAACAAAATGTTCTGCTTAATTGTTCTATTTTTGCCATGTATTGTATTTTTAAAGATTTTTAAATTATTGCTCTTTCTAAAGATAGCACTGGAATGACTATTTAAACTCTGAAGTTTTGCATCTCATCATATGCTCCAGAAGAAAGTGAAAATATATTTTAACTCATGCATTCATTATTGGCCATGGAAAATGATTTTGATTAAAATATTTGAGAAACTGTTCTAAGTATTCTAAGCTAACATATTAATGTTTCACAAATGTATTGTAAAATTACAACTAAAACTTAAACCAGGCCATTCACCATAGGAGGGAAAAACAATGAACAAACTCACTATGTCTATTTCGACACACTCTTTTACTACTAAATCTGATTTTTAAAGCAAGTTTTCCTATGATTAATAAGCCCGTAAGTGAAATTTTACTATTTCAAAATTGTTGCTTTTCATACCAGGAAGTCATATGAAATGCAACATGGATCAAAACAGAAAGTCTTCACCTTCTGAAAACATGCACATGCAAGTAAACAACTTCCTGCGTTCCATTGTACATCAGAGCAGCATTCATGAATCTGTTGTGATTTCCTTCTGCAGACAGAAGCTTGGACGTCAGCTACAACATGCATGAAATATTCTTGCTTTTAAAGTAATAGAATTTAAATTACCAATTTAAGTAAGTTCACGAAGTAGATCCAATAAAATCCTTTGAAAGTGAATATAAATTATACAGGCTCAGTCAATGCCTTTCATGCAATTCCCAGTGGCAAGCTATGATATTATCTCATACTTAAATTCAATCCAAAATTCAAATATTCATCTACATGTCTGTTTCAAAACAGTAATATATCAGAGTAATATTAAAAATACTTCAATCTGTATGTCCTCATGATAAAAGAGTGGCTAATTAAAAAATTTTACATACCATATTTTATCTTCCAAAATTAAGTTGGGAACATTAAAATTTTTAATACTATGACTTTGCAATATGGTTGACTTTACTAAGTCTTAACAATATGCTATTCTCACCTACTTGTTACTATTTTGAAAACCCTCTTCTATGTAAGTAAAATATATAAACTCTTGAGTAATAACTACTACCAATAAGGAATATCAATCTTTATTTAGCAGTTTATCTGTACTTTGTAGCTAAAATGAAAATATGTAAGTTCACTCATTTAGATACTTACGGTTTAATCACAGTTTTTTTGTCCCTTTCGCTAGTGATTTCCTACATATATGTGGAAATAGAATCTCACTGAAATACTCAAGATATTATGTTCATTTAATGTCACTAATAATTCAAATCATAGTGCTATAAGCTAATAAATATTTTAGGGAGAAGGATGGGGATTCACTTCTCTTCCAAGCAAGGGATGACACATTGTGAAAGCTTTTCTTTAGTCATGTCTATCAAGCATCATGTGAAGTATACATCTAAACCATAAGCTTAAACTTACGATTTTTTAACCAATATTAAAAACCTTATTTATCATTGTTTTGAATTCCCCAAAGAGGGACATATTTATACATTATGACAAAGACATTATATAATTTATACATAAAATCTATAAGAATTGCAAGTCTTTTATTTCAATAATCTTATGAAATAAGTAATATATTTTTTGTAAACTTCACTTTAACTAAAGAAAAGAAGAATGAGAACACTTGGGGGATTCTTTTGTATTAACCAGGATGGAGGTGGGGCACATTCTTTTGAATAAAGTATCACAAGAATGGAGAAGCAAGAATCCCATGTACTCAATTCTAATACGAAGGCAGTAGATGATCTAATACAAGGGTTGAGGTAGGGGAATGAGGGATGGGGTGAGGGGATGAGGGAG